TACTACATGTAATTTGTAGTTATATTTAAGCACCAAATTTGTAATCTAATTTTAAGAATTACTTACGGTTGTTTGATTAGCCGTAATTCCCTTAAATATTCTTCTAGCAATGCTTAAGCTTGGAAGAAACCAGCATCTCTTTTTACTGTCAATGGTTGAAGCATACGGCTCTCTTTGCCAGACATCAAACATCCATAACCAAATCCTTGAACAGCTCTCTCACCTCCAACACTTGCAGTTACCTCTCAGTCAGTTTTAAATTATGAAAAGTAAGAATAAATTGCCCGTGATACTTACAGTCTGTGCTTTAATGCCGTGCCAGGTTAGTCCTGTGACTGCCTTCATGGTCTTTTGCCCAGCTGTGGCAAGCTATCTAGCCTACATTATCTCATCCAGACCTCTTCTTAATTTGTTAGCACAACATTGCTCTTCTTTGGCATATTGGTCACAGCATAAAATCTTTCCATCTGGCATATTTCACCCGAATTTTTGGAACATCTTTCCTTGTTCCAGCCACAGTTTGTTTTTTTGTTTTTTTTTCTTGGAGAAACAGGAAAAAACCCTCATTCCTATTCTTCCATGTAAATGAGGGAGGGGATGGATAAGAACATTTCATTCCAAGAAATCCTAGGTATTGGTTTCTAAATATTTGTGTTTGATACGAAGCAGCTTTATTCCAGCAAAACTATTCATGAATCAAAGGCATTATACCCTATTTCTCATGATTCTGTTCTTACAATTCTTACGATTCTGTTATACTTCAGCAAAATAATCTGTGATGCCTGCACAGCACTGCATCAGTATGCAACAGCACCAAAATACGCTGCATGGCATTGAAATTTATAAGCTACAGCATATAGTTCAAAGCCTTATCAGAATGTCATGTTCACCCTCTGTATTTGATACACCACAGTAACTGGTAGAAGTCACAAGCGTGGCTAACTGCCCTAAGCAATAGCTCTTCCAGGTTATTCATGCTTTATTTTACGGACTGAGAATCAGATAAACATTGTTGTGATTCACTTTGTACTGAATCTGTTGTGGTGTGCAGAGGACCAGTTCTGCAGTAGAATCTGAAGCCATTGTATCTTTCAGATTCAGAACTCCCTAAAAAGAAAAGGTATCAGGAACCTTAACTTCAGTTATGCCTTCAGACATCAGCTCATGCTTACAAGTGCTCACAACGTGCCACTGATATTCAGGTGTCCCTGAAGCTGTCTGTGCCAAAGCTGGAGGAAGGAAATCTTTCCATTGGAAATATCACCAGGTTTCTGAGCAAAGATTTTTCTGCAGCTCTCTGTACTCCTTTCACAGATCCACATTCTGCACTTTGATGGAAAGGGCTGTCCAGCACATCAATATTGGCATGCCATGCAGGTATTAACCCACAGGTTTAGGTTGACTTTATTTCACCCAGTTCCTTGTTCAGTCCTTGTTCTGCCTCTTGCAGACGAAATGATAGTTCAGACAGGCCCGAGTGTGATACATTCTCTCCCTGGAGGATAAATGGGAATGTTCTCAGACAGATGGATCACTGCAAAGACAAGACATGAAGATGCTTCGTCAGTCTCTCAGACATGAGAGAGATTATGGTCATTCATTCATTTGTTGGTCCTCTAAAAAAGCTGTCATCTTCCGATCACCCCTTACTAGAGGTAGGATGTGAAGTAGCAGTGAAGCCTAGAATCTGGAGTATTTCTCTTCTGTTGGCTATTGCTATTGACTCCTTTTTAATAGAAGAGAGCACATAACCTACAACAGGTATCACTCCCTGTCAGAAATGTGTTTGGTCATAGGAAATCCACTATAACCTGTTCACTGCCATAGAAATTGCATCATCAGAAATAGATGAACCACTACACAATTCACCATAAAAAAAAATCATTACAATACTTTCTGTGAGGCATCATTAGGTGAATGAGAAAATTTATTTTGTTAGACAAACTGATATCATCAGAACAGGCACGAAGCACTGCTTCTGGTCTGAAATAGAACTTAGCTCAAAGCTAAGTACTAGCTGAGCAAGATTTTACCTTAATTGATGTTAATCTGTTAAATGGTTTGGGAAAAAAGATGGCTGATACCTGTGAAGTAGGGATTGATATTAGAAAGGGATGAGGCTGTAAGGTTGGTAGCTAAAAAATAAAATAATAATAATAATAATAATAATAATAAAAACAACCAACCAACCAACCAGCAAGTAGTGGTTAATCTCTTGTAGGTTTCTAAGGGATAAACCAGGGCAGGAAGTGGACAGAAACAATATACCACAAAACTGATGTCTTTTCAGTCTGTGGTTTTCAGTATACAGCACAGTTATGAACTACACTTCCCAGACTCATCTGATTGTAGTAAATACCTTGAGGGTCATGAGGCAAGTGACAGGAACAACTTGTGAAAACCCTGACAGTATGACAATAAGCAGGTATTTGTTCTGTACTGATTGCACAGTGGCAATTTGGTTTCCTCAAAATTCATACACATTCACACGCAACCACTTCTACAAAAACAGCAACTGGCCAACACCACCACTGCAGACACTACGAGCAGGCACTGCAAAGATTACATCCATTTAAGAAGGAAACGTATTTCTGGGGAGGCCCTTAAATACCATTGTCTGTATTGCAAAATAATCCCTGTTTATGCGCAGTTGTGATCTAGGACTCTACTGGCAGATGCATGAAAAAAAAAATATGCAGTCAAAAGTGAATCAGCATCTATAAAGAAAGAAACAGCCCTTGAGGGGAAAAATTTCCTCCCTGCCTCAAGGTGATTGATAGGGACTCCTAAATTGCTAACAGTTTTCATTTATTTTAGGCATTTAAAATATCAAACATAACCTTAGAACTCATACCTCATTTCACCTCCAATGAAAATCTTGCTTTCTAACAGCTTTACTGTTTAAAAAAAAAAAAAAAAAAGATTTTAAATCCTCATCTGATTACAGTACCACAGCTCACCACATTCTCAATGTAACGTTGTGACTTTTAGCCACCTTCAGCTTCTGGAAGTTTTCTTTGGTAAAACTTTTGATATTCTTCCTCAACGATAAGGGTTTTAGCCTCTAATCCTTGTGAGTCATATTTCTTCAAAGAAATAATCTTTCAGCTTGGACTAGGATAGTTCTCAGAAACAGCTTTTAATATTTAAGTACATGCTGAAGTCTGAAGGCTTTGGATTTTTAGATGGGTTCAGATCTGACTCTTGAGTTCAGCAGAGTTTTTTTTTAAGCTGCCTACTGTGCCAGAGAGAGGACTACAATGTTTTATCTTCTGCGTGATGGAAACCAGAGTGCACCAAGGGCCGAGCAATCTTGTCAAGAAGAGAGCATGGAGAACAGGGATGAACGATGTTAAAGATCCTGCTGGTCAGTACAAGGGCAGAAAGTCAGAACTTTCGACCTGTAACTAAGTGGGGAGTATTCGTTCCTGCTCCTTTGAAAAAAGCAGCTCCCATCACAGACCTAACTTGCTAACCTGCAGGCCTTTCTCCTCTGAGGATTTGGCATTGCAGTCATCCAACTGTGCAAATATTATTTCACAGGAAAGTTTGCCCTAAAGGACTGAAAACTTTCCTATGCAATAGGTAGCAAGCAGCCTTATTTCAGTTAAAGTATCTTTTTTTGTGTGTGTGTGTGTGTGTCAGAGACTATGCAATTATGAAATCTACAAGTCCATAAGATTTTGTATCCATCCAAGATCTTTCTTTGATGGGGAAAAGCCACTTCTGTTCAGCTCATTTAGGTCAGAAACATAGTTTGCTGATTTTGCCAGAGCTAATAAAAGCAGCATGTCTGTTTCTAAGTCAATACTGTTTCTGAGGTGCTTAATGGCAACTTGTTCTAAACTGGAACTTAACAGAGTGGAAAAGAGTGGATAGAAGGAGATGTCACAAGGTTCAAGACCAATTCAGCCCTCTATATTCCAGACAAACACTTTCACAGCTATTCCCAAGGAGGAGCAAAACAACATCCAGGACCACAAGAACACACTATAGCCAAGTGTGAGGCTTAGAAGACTAAGCTACAAATAGAATGCAAGTACATTTAAGCTGTCAGACATGAAAAATCCTTCAGTGATACATATGATTGGCTAATTCTTGTGCTGAGCTGGTTTGTGAGAAGGGATTGAAGTTCAAACAGCTCGAACAATATAAATAATAGGAAGATTTATGGAATCATACTACACATCTCATAATAAAACTAAAAGACCTTATCTGTATTCATGAAAAGAAAATCAGGTTTTAGTACCTAAAAGAACATAACAGTCATAAATAGGCATCAATCTGATGGGGATGCAAATACGAAACAATTCAGTGCTGGTTTAATGATCAGAGTGGGTGGAAACTATATGTCTGAAGTCTCCTGAAAGACACAATTATTGTTGAAGTGCTTCTCTCCAGCAAGAACTTATTATTAACTTCTTCCACCCTTCATGCATCTTTGAGAAAGAACAGTCGTTGGATTGCATGAGAAGGACTCAAAATGAAACAGAAAAAAACCTTAAATTGTTCTTACAATTCAAGTTCCCAGTGAATAAGTAATTATCTTCTAATAAGTCTGCTACAGTGATAATGAAAACTGACTGTGTTCTCTGAGCTTGTAGAGTACAACATCGAGTAAAAACCCTGACATCCAAGAACAGAGAGCTAAGCAACTCCAAATTAAGTTGATGAGATTCTGTTCTTTGTTTCCTTGGTTGCTTTGTTTTGTTTTTAACAAAACAAGACTTGATACAAAGGCACAAAAACTTGACATAAAGATACCAACACTGTCTTATGATCAACAACACCTTGCAGACTTTGGAGGCAGACGAACTATCCTTTCATTCTCTTTCATCCAAATGCTGGCATACATATCTACCCTGCCGGCCAAGGCTGATGTTTCAGGAAAATTAAGTACCTTATGTTTGAGGTCACAGACATTTATTCTCCACAACTGAAGTGTTGCCTCAAACTCCCGTAAGCATCTTTTTGGACAATGAAAACTTTGGCTATCCTGTCAAATCCTCACCTGAACTTTCACCATCAACATGGCTCTATGGAAATGGCAGCTTCCTCTTGAAGTCAAGCTGTGTGAGTTTTAAGCTCTGATTGTACATGAACAATGAGTGAAATAACTAGAAAGGATAGGGAAGCTAACAATGTTGATCCCGATCTATGAGCCCTCAATCACTGTTTGCCATGCCTATTGTGAAAGTATTTCAGCTGTCACCTCTTATGATGGTAATTACACATAGTGCTAGTTTATTTCCCCAAAAGTTGTGTATGAGTGGTATTGAGCTGATTCGTTAGCCACATCTCTTACAAGGCTGATTATTCCTGACACAGAGCCATATCAACATGGCTGCAAGAGGTAACTAATTTCACACCTAACAGACAATGATCTCTGCAGCATCTGATGCTATACTAATCCCTAGCATGTATAAATAATAAAACAAACCAAAAAATTCACCAGTTAAGACAATAACTTCCTAGAGGATTGGGTCTTATCATTTCAAAGATGGTACAAAATATCTGCCATTGATGAAAGTCACAGTGCTCCAGAAAACAGTGGGCATGGGCACATACGCCTACCTCTGGATTCCACCCACAGCTGTAAACTAACAATGGTAGAATCATAGAATTGTTTGAGTTAAAGGGATCCTTAGAGGTTATTTAGTCCAACTCCCTGCAATAAACAGGGACACCTACAGCTAGAAGATGTGTAAGCAGTGACTCTCAAAGCCCTGGTCTTTTAGTACTAACTGCTTTGACACGGCCAGTCCAATAATGCCAATATGTAGGTCAGAGTCACATAGGAGAGAGAATGCCCTCAAGTGCCATCTAGTTTTGGTTTCTGGCTCAGCCACAGACTTCTTGAGCAAGACACCTCAAATCTGTTCCTTTGCCATGGCAGAGGAAAGTTTAATATAAGTCTCAAATAACCATACACATCATAACTACAGATCATTTTCTTCTATGCTTTGAAGAAAACTTGCCCAAATAGCATGCTGAATGAGGGAGTATAGGGAGGTATCTATCTTTTTTTTTCTCCCCCCAAATACAATGATAATTTCTTTCCCCTATGGCTTCATTTTGACATGAAGGCAACTTTAAATCTATCAATTTCTCTGTATTTCATTTCCAGCCTCTTGGAACTTTCATTTCATCCATTTTAATCTTCTTTTAAATTTGTTATGGCTTTCACTATCTGTCTGCTTAAATTTGTTTATGGCTCTACCTGTCACATATTTATATTCTGACTTGCTTTCTGTCTTCACTCTCTGGGTATTTAGTGCGTAGCACATTGCAATTCCCAGCTTCAGCAACCTTTTATCCATCTTTCTTGGCTATTGTCCAGTATTTTGCTTATGAATAGCTTTAACTTAATAAATTTTTCCTGTTATCATTCATTAACATTGGAAATCTTTGAGTATGCTACACTGGATAGGAATACTGAGGAACCACCATAGCTCACTGAATTCTCAGCCAAGGGCTGCCAGTTCAGCCACTACATTTGTTTCTTTTATGACACTGAATGCGAGGTTTGAAAACACTGATCCCAAATATTATCTCAAAAGATGCAAGTAAAGAAAAAGAGAATAAGTTCAAATTATGTCTCAGTGCAAGAATATTTCAGTGGATTCTGTAACTGGCTGTATCCCTGCTGACTACCGGTGCCTTCAGAACTGTGGAAAGTCTCTGCTCTTGTAACAAATACCTAGAGTTCTTCTAGGTCTTATTATTGATTAATACATGATTATTGATAGATATGTTAGACTCAAGTCCATGCTGAATGTTGTCCTGCAGACTGCACGTGAGCTAATCACTTAAGGTATGTATACATACTTCCTTACAGATACAGTTCATGTTTATTGATACATAAGTTGCCTCCTATTTATTTCCATGGAAATTACAACAGATAGAAAGAGCACAATAACACTATTTGAGCAAATTCTCAGCTACTAAACACTATTTTTCAACATAGTCACCACCATTAGTTCTGCATTTTTTTGCCAACAATGAACAAGAGCGTGCATGCCATGCTCATAAACATCTGCACAAGCAGAACTGACCTACTCTTTCACAGCTGCTATGACAGCGTTGTTGCAAAAATGCACCATGTTCACAAGCATCAATGAATGTCAGTGGGTGCAATCTTTTTCCACAAAGAGGAATTGAATTTCACAACATTGCTTCATATGCACTTCCACATCAGGTGCCATTTTGTCACACTGCCCCTCTGCTGCCATCTGTCACACAGCAACAAAACTGAAAAGTATGCTAGTAGGAAGTTCAACCTTTATTGCCATACCCAAGCATCTGCCCCTGACATCGTGGATCAAAGACATAAAATAGGAGGCATTACTTTTGGAGCTGCTATCTTACATTATCATGGCCGAATGACTTCTGGTTGACTTAGTGTGCAGGTAGAATATTTGGGACAGGGGAAGGCTTGCATACAAAAAGTATGTGAAAGTGTGTCTAACTGGCCTAGTTGGGAGATGAGTGTTACTTTATGGGGAGTCTACTAGAAGGATGCTTTTTAACATTACTCTACCAAAAGATCTCACATGTTGTCCTGGCCAGCCCACTGTGCTCCATACCAGGTGCCTCAAACCTCTGTTTTACTGTCTCATCCTGAAAAAGGTCAAAGAGGAGAATGAAGCACTGAATTAAATGTAAATGCAAAATTAACTTTTGAAGTGTATATTTTTCTAAGGTTAAGTTTCTCAAAAACTAATAGGAGCTTAGCAAGCAGTAATATTTCTCTATTCTTCATTGAGTTCATCTAGATACTATGGTTAGGTAACCAGTTGTATGATTCATCCAGGTTTTCTGTCCAGGGAAAGTGGAGGGAAACATGGGGCTTCATGGTAAAGGAAATGCTTCTGCAATTGTGTTTAACATGCTCTACAGGAGCCCCTTCCCATCTCTTGTCCCTTAACTGTAAGCAGAGTTTAGCTGAACACCTGGAATTGGCATCTAAATAGTTAAGGAAGGTGAATAATTCGTCTCACCTTTCCATCAGCCCCAGTTACAAATACAGATGGAATACCCTTCTGTTCACTGGTGCTTTATTTGAAGGCAAAACAACAACTGCTGTGGCAGGGTAATAATACCATCTACTGGAGAGAAAAGAAAAAAAAAAAAAAAGCATATAGATAGGGGTGGGAAAATATCCTTTCCTATAACATGCTTAACTGAGGGGTTTTGATGCTCTGTTCCTGGAGGTGTTCAAGGCCAGATTGGATGGAGCCCTGGGCAGCCTGGTCTAGTACTAAATGTGGAGGTTGGTGGCCCTGGCTGTGGCAGGGGGGTTGGAGCTTCATGATCCTTGAAGTCCCTTCCAACCCAAGCCATTCTATGATTCTTTCAATCTTCCTTGCCAGAAGGGAAAAACTAGTGCAGTTAGGGATATCATAGCACTTATAGAACAGGAAACATAGAGTTTACAATTTCCCTCTCCCAGTGTGAGGGAAAATTTTTCCTAAGTTGAGACATAAACAAAAAGAAGCTGCAGTTTTATTAAACTTTTGCTTTCATAAGAGTAACCTATCCTATTTGCCTGCCCCACAAGTTTAACCCAGGTACTTAAATTTTACATTTTTTTGGCTTTTGAGCTATTGGTTCCATACACAAAGATCTTCCACTGATTTTAACAACAACCAGTGGTTGTCCCCTCATCTGCTTGTCAAATATAGCAATTTAAATAGAAATATCAAGCTGGTCTTTCAACAGGAAACATGTCTATTTAGCAGATGCTTCAAAGAGTCTCTTGCATACCTCCTACTGTTATTAGGCAGTGGGAGGCGCATGGTACCAGCCATAAAGATGTGGCAGTAGGCTACAAAAGCAAAGAACATTACTTAACAGCTCAAATCTGTTAAGACTGCAGTATCTTACTGATAGAGAGGAATGTAGTAGAATCACTCAGTCATGCAGAGTAGTGGGAATAAACATAAGAGAGTTTTCTGGGAGCTGTGACTGCACTGCAGAGTAAAGACACTTGGAATCTTGCCTCCTGCAGAAACACAGATGCAATTAAGTGAGACAAAAAACAGTGCAGGCAGAAAGGACACACAAAGTACTTACCTTGACTTCCAGAACTTTTAACAGATAGATTTTTCTTAGCAGAAGAAATGAAATAAAATGTTGAAGAACTAGTTTAAAGGTAAAGTAAAGTAGAACATTCTAGAGGAAGAATTCTTCCATCTCTCTCCCCAGCTACAGCTTACCAGACAGGGGCTGTGGTTCTGGACTGCTGACTGCCTCTTCTCCAGCTGAACAGTTTACCATGATCTCAGCTCACTCAAAGACTCAGTTTTAGAAGATGATAGATGACCTTTAAGATCCCTTCCAACTCAAACCATTCTATAAGGACTGTTTTCTACAAATACTGCATGTAATACTCAGATCCTTGCTCCTACTTGTACCACAGCTGAAAGGAGGGTCCCATACCTTCACCAGCTGGGGTTCATGCATGGTTGTTGTGTGGATGCTCTGAAATGCTCCTTGGGGTGAGAGAAATCACTTGTCATCAAAAAAGCTGAATTCATTTTGAGTAGTGACTTCCTAAACAATGGGAGTTTTTATAATGATTAGCTCCTTTTCTTGCACTGGAAAAAAGAAAAAAAAAAAACAAAAAACAGGACTTAAATTATACCATTCTGACAGCACCTGCAGTAATTACACAGAGCAGATTATTTTCACAGACGAGATAATATTTTATTACAACCCACTTTAATATTTGTTTTCAAGAACAACCTAGACAAGAAAAAATGCCAGTCTTAAAAAAGAAACAAGATTTCAAACAAAATTTGACATTTGAATAAGTTCTGCCGTGCCAAAAGTGATTTTCCCCAGTGAGAAGAGGTGAGGGAAAAGACATATGTTTACATGATCATCAAATCAGTCCTTTGCAGGCCCAGATGACAACGAGAGATTATGCCTTTGAGGCTGAACTCAGGCTTATGGAAACTGAGGGAGCAAATAAGCTAACATTTGACACCACTCCTTGATCCATGAAGGCACATTACAGAATTACAAGCCAATTTCATTTCATTTTAAAAACACTTCTTAGGTTGTCATATACACAAGGGTGTCTTTAAACACCCTTGTGTACTAACACCCACTGGTCAAAGCATTTACGTTTATCTCAGCTCTTTTCTTTAGTTTTTGAGCTTGTGCTCTGAGGCACTCTGAAATTGCCATTTGTGTCAAGTTCATGTTTTCCTCAGTATCTTTATTCCTTGTTATGCTGTCACTCATGCACTTCAGTGAAGGTTGAGATGGAGGAGGAGGAGAAGAAATGCAGCATTTTTTGCCCCCGCCCAACAAATGAAATTACCCCAAACCAGTAATATGACAATGGGCAGTATTTTTCTAAGTGACTGATACAGAACGTATGTCAACCTTAGACAAGTGCACTGCAGCAATCCTTGTTGTATCAGGCTATCTGTCAGACAGGCTGGCAAGTACATTCAGTGCCAGCACAAACATATACAGAGTCAACATGTGTCTCTGAAAAAATATACCAAAATTAGTGTGCTTACTGAACCTTACAGTCAGAAGCACCATTTTTAGTTCCAAAGAGATGGATGACTAGCGGACATAGAACTAAGCCAATTATTCTTAATTTGCTTTTCCAAGAGCACAAGAACAAAGCTTCTGCAGAGGTACAAGAAACGTAGGCTGAAACCACGTGTGACCAGGATCTGAAAACACTGAAAAAACACTATCAAGCAAGCCTGGAGCAGCCTCATTTTCTTTCATATTGAGCAATGAGTTATACAGCTGCCCTAGAGAAGTCTCATTTAGCACTCATTTCAAGCACAAAATGAACTGTCAACTTTGCTGAGCAACAACATCTAGAGTCTTCTTTGGGCCAACAGGACCAATCTTAGGAAGCCTCAGGGAAAGCCCTAGGACTGTTTTTGAGGGCCCTTTTCCCAGGAGACCAACTTGTCTCCTTCCTACTGTCTTCCTACTATCTTTGCCTGGTGCCCATTCCTAAAGATGTTGGTGCAAGTTCACTGACAAGGTCCTATTCTGTCAAAGGGACGACTTATTGTTAGCATCCCAGCAAGGTGCACCAGGACCTAATGTGCAATTTTCCGCTTTGTGAGGAAGCAGTAGCTCGATTGACAAGGCAAGCATGTAGATAGTGGGGAATCTTCATTAAACAGAGCTCTAAATCTAGGTTTAACATCTGAGACATACGTAGGAGGTCAGGCCTGAGGGTGACAGGGTAACATCCTGGCAGCAGTGTCATTTATGCCCTCACAGAACAGCGGGGTTGGACAGCCTCAGCAGAGCAAGGTAAGCACTGTTCTCCTACCCCAATGTGCATTGAGCTGAGTGTGTACAGAGCTCAGCCTGAATCAGGAGGGGAATTTCTACAGCTGCATATCGAGCACCTCCAATGTGTAGCTGTAGAGACACTCCTGTCCTGAGTGATGGATTCATCCTTCGTGAGGCACATGCTCACCCTATCGAGAAGCGCACACTAAGCAACATCCTCAGGTAACCCTTATTTTCTGGATCTAGTTCTGTCAGCTCCTCTTCAAGCATTCAGGTTGTGTGCATATCCCTCTGCACAATTCCTAACTATTGTCACTGAGCTTCGAATTAGATTAGCTATTACTGGCTTTGCAAAGAAGAGATTCCAACGCATTAAAAAGTATGCAATCATTATTTATTGATTAAAATTTCACTCTTCAGGTTTCACTGCACACAGCTTAGATCAGAAGAATACAAATTCTGAACTTACCTCACCCTCGTACTCCCTCAAGTAAACGAAACTTATTTGCAAACTCTGCCACAACAGCCGTCAGAGGAAGAGGAAATAAAAGCAAACACACTCATACTTAGGAAGTTGCCTGGAGTGCCAAGAACACCGTGTGTCATTTGCAGTGCAACTGTGCACAGAATACAGACATAAATTGCATTATGTGCTCATTCTGTAGGAGTTCACCCACCTGAGACATACTCCAGGCTTGTCAGAGTCCTGTTTCACCCAGCATAACATTTTTCAGTTGACTTTATTCCCAGCAAGAAGCATTTAAAGTAAGTGTCATTCTAGGTGATGAGCAGACCACCCATGGCATGTTCCAGCTGTATTCTCTCCTAAGGTTCCCCAAGACACCTTCACAGTAAAAGATTTTTCTAATTGAAAAAGCAGCAGTTCCATGCAGTATTCGTGGGCTCTCTTCACTTCTGAAAATGAAAAGGGAAAGGAGATGAACTCAATTCTTCTTTACGGTTTCTTTGAAGTAGTCACAATGATAATCAGAAATAGACTACGTAAAAAAATTGATCTCTACCCATCAGCTTTCCTATCAGATCTTCATTAGTCACAAAAGTTTAAGAAATCCTTTCTGAAGCAACAGCATAGTGCTGGGAAAAGCTCTTCTGTAGCCATAGGTATATATTTTATTACAATTCTTACTCTTATTTTTCTGTCAGAATGGAGGGGAACAATTCAGGTGCTTACCAGGACAAGTTACATTTCCATTACAAGGCATTATCAAGAAAAATTGGCAAATCTCTTCCTTATACAGACAAGACACCACATTCTCAACATGTGATGAAGTGTTGGCTTATTTTTTAATTCTTGCTTAAGTCATGGTTTGCTGGCAGATGTTATTTTTCCTATTAGACAAACAGAAATAGGAAACATTGAGGGCACACCAACTTTACAACTGAAATAGAAACGGGATTAATCTTACATCCATCAGTCACTCTGTTTGAGAGAAGGAAGGAGAACTCAGTGGCACAGAGAGGATGCTGCCAAGGGGAGCGGTGAGAGCAGCACAGGGCACAGATGGACACACACACAAGTACATAGTGCCATGGAGCACTAAGCTATGCCTGTGTACAGTAAGTGGCTGGAGTCTTTAAACTGGAGAGAGTGGGTGGAGAAATATGTCTAAGGACAATAGCACTGATGAGGTAAGCTAAACCAGCAATCAGTCTCACCGAACAAAGTGGTGTATAAGCAGTAAGTCTGAAAAATGGTTACCAAAACCTACTGCTTAGGCATGTTGGGTATGTTATTTGATACAGCATTTCCTTGTTCATCGGTCATTGGTGGTTCTGCGGGACACAGTTGTGATTGCCCGATCAAACACCTGCTAAAGAGAGTATTTAGAGAGATGAATCAAATATATGAAATCATTTCAATCCAAGCTAAAACTCAGAGAAAATCCTGCTTCCAAAGACCCTGCAGTAGCTTGCCTTGTAAACTGGAGCACTGATGGCAAGTTTTGTATGGTTTGTGAGGAGAAAAATAGGGAAGACATTAAATTATTAAGCTTGTTTCTCTGCTTTAAGAACATGTAGTGCAATGCCTGCATAGAAGCTATTTCACTCGGGAAATCTATTATTCAAGACTTGAGTTTTTGATATTCTCTACAGGAAAATAATTTCACAGGATAGTCTGAACCAAAGAACACTGTCCATTTAGCAAGTGTATGAGAGAAGTCCCTTTAATAGATTTGTTTGTCCCAGGAGGAATGGCACAGAATCTTGACAGGATTATAAATGGATTGGAAATAGTTACTCAAGCGTGCTACCGTATAGAACCTACTTTGTTTTTACTCTGTCTTGCTGAAAGGCTGGTGGGCGGGGAAAGACTGCCTTACATAAAACCTCCAGTCTGAGCTGCTAGAGGCACGGGATACACTTCTGTATCAGTCCCTAACAGAGATAGGACATGGCTGTTCCTTTAGGCACAAATTGCAATTACTCATCTAATGGGCACTGTGGCATTCAGCTGCCACTCGTACCTCTTAGAGTTGGCTTTCCCACCCTCCACACTCAGGAAACTACTTGAGGGTTTCTGTTTCTCAGAAGTCTTGTTGCAAAAATTTAAAGCACAGTTTTATTTGATATACTATTCTTACTCTCTCCTCCCAGTTGTCTAAGGGTATCTGTGACTGTAATCACTTACAGCAAAAACCATTCAATATAGTAAAGGCATTTCCCATTTTGAAGTTCACCTAAATCCCTAAATTACAACCTTCCTGGTCGTAATTTATTTCCTTTCATCTCCCAAATGCCTCACATTTAGAGCTGTAACTCCTACATCCCTTACGGCACCTCAGAGCACACACCTGAGCAGCACTGTTGTTGCTTTTCCTGCCACATTTGCTTGCAGAGTTCACCATTCAGGGTGCACTTACCACGACTTCAACTGAAGCAGGTGACTCCTTTCTAAAGTGGTTTTGTGCTGCTTTATCGTTATTGGAGCTGATACCCCAAATTTTGTGTTTGCCTGTGCCACTCAAGGCTTGGCAAGAAGAACAGGGCTAAAAACAGAGGCCATCGAGGTGGAAGGGGCAGCAGGATGCTCCCTCCCTCTGCCAGCCCAGAGCTGCTCAGTCACTTACCAGCTTCTGCATCTTCAGAAGGAAGGACGCAGGCATTTCTTCTGACTTGATGAAGAGAACATTTTCATCATACAGTGCTTCATCAAATGTACCTGGTTTTAAATATGCATGACAAAAAGCTTGTCTTGCATGATTAACAACCCGCTCAGGTTGCACAGCATGCTGTTGCAGCTCTCCTACAGCCCTCCCTGACATTTCCTTCCTGGTGGGTATATACATCTCTCTTCACATTCCCACAGCTGAGCCAGACTTCCCCTTTTACTTGCTATTCTGTGCTATGATTATTACATCTTCCCTATACCATCTCTACATATTTTACATGGGTTTTTACATTAAAGAGGAGAAAATACTTCAAACAGGACCTTGTTTTATACCTGCAATCACACGCAGGATTGCCACGGAGTCACAGATCATCCCAAGTTGGAAGGAAGACAGGATCAGGTCACAGAATCACAGAATCACCAAGGTTGGAAGACCTACAAGATCATCCAGCCTAACCAACCACCGATCACCAGTAGTACTCACTAAACCACGTCCCTCAACACAACATTCAAACGCTCCTTGAACACCTCCAGGGTTGGTGACTCCACCAACTGCTGCTTGATTCCAACTCCTGGCTCCATACAGGATCACCCAACATTCAAACCCTATGTCTGAGAGCACTGTCCAGATGCTTCTTGAATTCTGGCAGCTTAGGGCTGTGCCCACTGCTTGGCCACCGTCTTGGTGAAGAACCTTTTTCTAATCCACAACCTGATGCTTCTCATACACCTTGCCCTCAGACCCATCTTTATAGCTCTCCTTTGAATGCTCTCTAATGGTTTTATGTCCTTCTTCATTGTGGCACCCAATTTGCACCCAGTGCTGGAGGTGAAGCCAGAAAGTGCAGAGGACAACAGGACATTCCTTCCCCTCACCTTGTAGTAGTGCTGGACCTGGTGCACCCCAGGGCATGGTTGGCCCTTCGGGCTGCCAGGGCACACTGCTGGGTAGTGTTCAACTTGCAGTCAACCAGAACCCACAGATCTCTTTCAACAGGGCTGCTCTCCAGCATCTCATCCTAAAACTGGCATCACATGTGTTTTGATTAGAAATATTTTCAAGCTGACTTAAAAATAATAACTCCTCTTTAATTTCTTCAAAGCCACTCATCAGTAACAGATTCAGTAAATCTACTGAATCTACTGAGAAGTGACAAAACATGACACAATAGAGTGCTTCATGGCTAAAAGCAAAAGGAGATGCAAGCTGGGGCTTGGAGTGCATTTGGCCTTTTAAGGCTTAGGTGCCATTATCTGCTCCCAGGGAACCCTTTTCTCCCTCCTGGGGCATCCAGCACTGTCTCCCACCAGATGCAAGAGGATGGCCCCACACTGCCTCAGCACACCTCTGTACCCACCTGTTGTTGCCACAGCAACTCGGTTTGTTTGAAGACAGTCTTCTGTTTCCATAGGAACAAAGCAGCTAGGCCTGCCTAGAAACTTCTGCTTGTTAAAACATGAAATTTTGCCAAAAAAAAAGGAAAATCTGAAAGGCAGATTGTTAACAGAGAAGAGAATCTGTATCACAAATGTATATGATACCATTGTTGTATTGACAGCCTAGGAACTGAGTGAATTTGGACTAATGAGAATAAGTCATTTACCACAGCATGAAGGCACCTCTATTAAAACCTGAACTGAGATTTTTTTTCCCCCTCCCAGTTATCAACAAATTAAATAGTTGCAATATCTGATTGAATAGCTGAGATGTAAGACTGGGTTAAGGAGAGATTTTAAATCTGAATTTCTCCAAACAAAGTAGGAAAATCATATAGCTCCAAAGTAGATTTTAATAGCTTAGAAAGGAATAAAATGAAGCAAGGTTATTCTTGCTTTTGAATTTGTGAAAAGTTATGTTAATAAGATCATCCCATAAGATCAAGAACATTACAAAAGTGTCCATCTTTTAGTAGCATGTTTCTTTATATAAAAAATACACAGAAAAAAAAATGCCTCAAGACAGTAATTGTAACTGTTGTCAAAGAAAAACTCCAAGGAGATGAATCCAGACCACAGCTACAATTGCAAAAATCTCTGCTTCAGAAAGATCTAAATAAGGAGACAGGGCTTTTAGTGACATACACTGGAACTTTCACATGCACACGTGGGGGATGGCCATATCCCTGCTTTAGGGGTTCAATGCCAGGTTATGGAGAGCTTTGAAAAGTTCTTCTGTCAAAGACAGCAAAATATGGTGAGGAAGCTGATGGCTCACTCCATCTCAAACACATCCCTCCCTCATCTGTGCTCGATTCTAATAAAGACAAAACCCAAATCAAATTGAAGTAAATCCACAGCCCAGAACTGCTCACGTTAGCCTAAAAATCTGTGGAATTAAGTGTTGGTTGGTTAGGTCTCAAATACGAGTAGCTCGGATCACAGTTATTCACAAGTTCTGCATCTCTGCATTGCTCTAATGGTCAATCTCTAAAAACTGCATTCCCCAAAGAGAAAGGCTTTTATGTACATTCAGAGGAAAATAAAAATCTCCAAGTACCAACTGTGCTTCAGATGCATAGAAAACATTGCCTGGCAGGCATGTGCTGAAGAAAAAAAAAAAAGATCACAAAGCTTCCACACCTCTGGCAAAAGTATCCTGTATTGGATTAACTCTGTGCCTAGCAGCACACTGAGTCAGCTCCAACACAAGTCACCAAAGTTCAGGTGTCTGCGCTCCCACTGTCACCCACAGGGCAACCCAGCTCATTCAGTATGCACAGCAGCAGGCACAGTGGCTCAGTGCCTTTGTGGGAACCCAAAATGCCTTCCTGGCCTCCAGCAGCCACTCTAGACTAAAGATAAAGGCCTCTCATCTGCTTCGTGATGTATTTGCCCATCCTATATATAGGTCTGGGTCACACTAAATTCCACAGCCAGAAGATGTTCAGCTGAGACACAATGCAGGGCTGCACAGAATGCAGAGGGAGTTCAGAAACTCAGCTGCAGACACAAGAAATTGTTCCTAATATCCAATCTGACCCCCCTCCAGCACAACCTGAGGCCACCGCCTCTCATCCTAAAAAAGAGCACAAGATGCATTGCACTTGTCTCCCCACCACTTTTCGTGCCACCTTGGGAATTAAACACTGCCCAAACTCATGACACATCAGACAGAATTTAGCCACAGAGCCCCGTGCCTGGGAAAGCCTCAGATGAGGAGGGAATCTTGCCTAAACATCAGCTGCTGGCAAGAGGGAAGGTTGAATGTGAGCAAAGTGCTATAGCACTTCTGTTCTGTGTTATAAGCATGAGTATCAAATTCACTTTTTGCTCACCTGCAGCAGAGCAGGGTATGACAGCTGTACTTGGGTTTTTGCTCTACAAGGCATTGATTAACATCCAGGGTGGCCCCTGCTGCAGAATCAAATTGTACATAGTTAAGACATTTGTCAACAGCTAATAGAAATTGTTCCTAAAGAAACAGCAACGTTAGACCAAGGAACAATATTCTCTGCATGTTTTTATGTAAGAGATGTTCTGTACGTACTGAAAATATTCAGTGGCAATGCACCATGTTGTAAAGCATTCACATGGGACCACGGACCAGCTGCACTACAAGAGGTAAGCAGAACCACATTCCAGGGTCCATCAGTACTAAGACTTTTGAGAGCACCCAGCCAGCAACTGGCCAGCAGGCAGACGGACAGCAGCACCCCCTCAGCTCCCAGCTCAGCCCCTGCATCAAACACAG